GTTAATTGACAATGGAAGTCTAAAAATCACCACTGAAGAGTGAGATGACAACTATATTACACCAACCACACAGAGCTGGTTCTATGCTATGTATTTGTTGGATTTAGAAAGTCACACTCTGGGTGGTCTGGTAAGAATTCTGATTATCTTATTACACTAAAATTTTGGTACAAATAATTTAGTTGCATTTTTTTACATAAGTCCTAATAACTTTAAATAGTCGGTAGCTCTTTAGAGGCTAGAACAACATACACATGCCATAGAACACTTCATCTGGGCTGAAATAGTTCCGAAAGTTTTTAACTGATTTTCAGCTGGGCAGCTCTTCCTAACTTCCCTGCCTGCCCCATTCACACACACACTTCTTCGGGAACCACTGTGGGAGAGCCCGTTGCCGCTGATGTGAATGTGTTTTTTCAGATGTGAGATATGGGGCGGTTAGAAACCACTCTCCTAAAAACCCCTGTTGACAGTTCCTCGCCATTTGTGGGTGCAAACAAACATAATCCTTACAAGAGGCATCACTGCAGACTGTACTTTCTTGAAGGCCATTCTCTAATTACGGCAGAGATTAGCTGGGCATAGTGACCTATAATAGTGGCTAACATGCACTGAGTGCTTACTATGTTTGAGGCGCTAGTCTAGGCAGTTAACACGTATTAATTCAGGAGATCTTCATAGCAACTCTGTGAGGTAGGTAATTCCCATTTTAGTTGAGAAATAGGCACAGAGATGTTAAGGATTTTGTGTGAGATCACACAGGTAGTCAACAATGGAGTCAAGATTCCAAGCCAGGCTGGATGACTCCAAAAACATAGTCTTAACTCCTGTTCCAGCACAGCTACAGTCTCCTAGGGGAAGCTTGCTTATGGCCGACTGAAGAAAAGCAGTTTCTGCTCTAATCACTGGGTTGGTTTATCAAGTGCACAGACAAGAGGAAGCAGCAGATTGATTGTAAAGCTTACTCCTCCTCTGAAGGGCTATGAAGATGAAAATTGAGGGCTGTAAAAAAAAAATATATATATATACATATATATAAAAATATATATATATATGATCTAAACTGTATGGATAGCATCAAAATTAAATGCTCAAAAAATGTACCTCTATAATCCTATCTGTAAGATCCAATGAAATGCTCCTACTAAGATTAAGATGGAATACCTAAAATTAAAACAAGAACTTCACATTTACAAATTATTTTCTTCACATAAAATCTGGAAATAGCCCTGGCCAGTTTGCTCAGTGGTTAGAGCACTGACCTGCAGTCCAGAGAGACCCAGGTTCGGTTCCTGCTAAGGGCATGTACCTTGGTTGCAGTTTGTCCCTGGCCCTGGTTGGGTTGTGTGGGTGGCAGCCACTCGATGTGTCCCTTTCACGTCAATGTTTCTCTCTCTCTCCTTCCTACTCTATCTGAACAAAAAATAGAAAAATGTCCTCAGGTGAGGATAAAAAAAGAAAATCTGGAAATAATTTTGACCAAATGATTAAAAAAAATGTGACAGACAAATCATTAAAGACTCATTACCATCCTTCACAGACGCACATAGGCTACAAGTAATCTAACGTGTTTACAATTGACTTCTTACAAAACTTTTATTAAGACCAGTTAGGAGTGCTTTAACCCATAATTAAAAACATTATTTTTAAAGTGCCACTTCTATTAAAGGAACTTCTAAAAACGAATAAAATAAAAACAGTAGCACTTACTACGTACTGGAAACCACTCTCAGCTTTACATGTGTATTAATAATCCACTTCGTCTTCAGTCCTCAACATGACCTAGTAAGACGAATATTCTTCAGTGTATATGAGGAAACTGAGGTATGGAGAGGTGAAATAATTTGCTCAAGGTCTGTACACAAATACATCATGTACACAAATACATGATGGTGCTGGAATTCAATTCTTGGTGTCTGGCTCTAGAGTATCAGACAATGAGTATCAAAATGCAGAGACGACACTTTTCCTGTAAAACCTATTTCATTGAACAAAACCTAACAGAAATGGAATGATGTAAAAATGGCAGAAGAGGAACTTCCATGCAAATCTCTCTCACATATTTTATCAAATGTTCAATATAAAACAGCTTAAGATTTAGAACTATTTGTACTTTAATTCCAGTTTTCCTTACGTCCAAATCAGTGAGGTTTTTCCTTTAAATATTTTTTTAACAAGGGCTTACTAAAGTAAACATGAAATTTTTCTAATTTTCTTTTCAGAGCATTACCTGAAGTTAGCCCTTGGTAGAAACTTAAAAAAGCAACAAAGCATTTTTAAAATAGTTACCTTTCTTATCAGATGTCTATTAACTTCTAAACAAACACTTAAAAAATTTTTTTTCTGATTCTAATGGCTTCTTCATTAGCTTCAGTTAAATAATTTTGAGTTTATTCTTTTTTTTTAAATTTATAATTGTTTAATATTCTCAATGTACCACATATTCTCCCATTCATGGTTAGTATTTTTTTGTCCTCACCCGAGGACATTTTTCCATTTTTTATTCAGATAGAGTGGGAAGGAGAGACAGGAAGAGAGAAACATTGATGTGAAAGGGACACATCGAGTGGCTGCCACGCGCACGACCCAACCAGGGCCGGGGACAAACTGCAACCAAGGTACGTACCCTTAGCGGGAACCGAACCCCGGTCTCTGTGGACTGCAGGCCGACGCTCTAACCGCTGAGCCAAACTGGCCAGGACTTGAGTTTATTCTTTAGGCCTAGAAGACTGCCTAGTGAATATTCACCAACCATGTGTCCCAGTATTATACTAACTTAAGAATTGTTTACCTCTAGAGGACTGTATAGATCAGCAAGAGTTGGTTCTCTGAACTCTCTTTAGGATAGCAGCTATTCAAAAATCTGAAACCTTTGCACCTTTTATAAGATTTCTTTTGTGTCTGTCATTTTAGGTTGTTTCTCAGAGACTGTGGCGCAAAGAATACACGTTAATTGCCTGTACAAGCACTTATATCAGTGCTCCCAACGAAGCCAATACCAGTTCTAAAGGGGATGTTTTGGAAATGTGAGTTTTCTTTTGGGTGGCACAAAGATTAATGGCACCACTGGCATTTGGTGGGTGAGGGCCAGGGAAATTCAATGTTTTACAACATGTGGGACAATCTCACATGATGAAACAGTTCAAAATCTTGTGTGACTTTCCAATGTTCATTCATGCAGTAGAAAATCAGTTTATGATTATCTGAACCTAGAACCTAATTTCTTTCTATACAGTAAAAGCACAAAGTACTTTTTTGTATAGCTTTAAAATTCATTAGTTTCCAAACATGCAACTAACATGTAAATCAAGTTGTACATCGTTTTGTTTGGAACTTTACTATGCACGATCCAGCATTTTAGGGGAAAGTCTTATCATCCATGGACATGTTTGTGTTTCTGAGTCACAACAACAGTCTATATGTATTTATCACACACAGTCTTCTAATGTAATTATACGTAAGCATTTACATACTGAAGTACAAATGATTACTTTTATTTCTATTCTATGTACAATTATTATTATATGCATTTTAATTTCACTTCAGGATAGCAAATGGGACTTTTATAAAAATGAAGTAATGGGTTTGATAGGGTCAATTTACTGACTCAAATGCCAGCCATAAAACAAGAAGGCAACTTGCATAGATAGAAAATTAAATAGCTAAAGATGACAAATGTGTTTCCAATACACTAGTAAAATAAAATTCAACACTATTTAACTAAAGGGAAAGAAAAACCTGTTCAACGCTTAATTTGTGCATTGAAACTCCTAATTAGATGTCACAGCTTGTTCTTTTAGCTACAGCTTTCAGATGGCTCTGCAGATGAGCTGATACCATTCCAGGGCGGGTAGGATCAGTGCTGCTTTGTCCCAGTCCCTCTTCTACCCTCAGATGCTGATGTGAAATAGAAACACAGCTTTGTTAGGTGTCAAGACAGGCAGTTTTGCTGTGGAAAATAAATTTATTACCACCATCCTCCACATTTCATTTACATACTGTCACACTAACTAAAATAACTCAATATTTCTCTTTAAAGCCGAATATTTGGTTCACTTTTTATAGGTACTTTTTTTTTTCATTTTTGCAAAGTTTTTATTTTTGTTTATTTTATTTATATTTTATTAATTTTTGTTACAGATGTTTCTCCTTTTCTCCCCAGATTCCCCCTTCCCCCTCCCTCCCTGCACTGTCCCGTTTGTTGTCCACGTCCACTGTTCATGCATACATGTATGTAAGTTCTATGGTTTATCTCTCCCCCACCACCCCCTCTTCTGGGGATTGTCAGTCTTAGGTACAACTTTTTTTTTTATCCTCACCCGAGGATATTTTTCCATTTTTTGTACAGATAGAGTGGGAGGGAGAGAGAGGAAGGGAGAGAGAGAGAGAAACATCGACGTGAAGGGACACATCGAGTGGCTGCCACCCGCACGACCAACCAGGGCCGGGGACAAACTGCAACCGAAGTACGTGCCCTTAGCGGGAACCGAACCCGGGTCTCTCCAGACCGCAGGCCGACGCTCTAACCGCTGAGCCAAACTGGCCAGGGCGGTACAACTTTTTTTTACAAAGGTCAAAAAGCTGCTAAAATAGTTCATTGCCCATGACAAACACATTCAAATGGTCAAACATATTTGTACATTGTAATTAATTTTTTCAGTGGACAGTTGTGGAAAATATATAATGCAAGCATTTCCAGAGGCATCTGATTAATGGTAGCCAATTCTAATGTTTATTATTATATTTTCACATCCTCTTATGTATCCACATTCCTTAGATTTGAAGATTCATAAATTGTTATAAGATAACCTCCACTAAATGTAAATGAGTCAGATAAGATTTAAGTATTTTCTCATACTTATGTTTCTAGGTAATAAACTTAAAATTTTCTTATTACAAAATGAAAGAGCATATAAATATTTTTTCTAATGAAACAAAAGCACTCACTCGACAAATTAGTTCAACATCAAGTTTAAGGTTGTGAATAAAATTGCAATAATGACAATTCAAATGAAGTAAACAGAATAAACCGTTTATTAAAACACTGTATAATAAAATAAACTTTTTTTGATCTAATGCTAAAGTGGTAAACATTTCCCCTCATTAACAAGTTAAATTACATCATAATCTGACTAAACCTTGAAAATGCTCCTGTCCTTTCCCACTGAATGACTGAACAGTAAGGTGTGTAGATCAAGGTTTTTTTAATGATTGAGGAAGAAAACCTAAAAGACAACAGAAATCCCATATGCCCCAAGATTAAATTTTATTTACCCTGCTCACTGTCCCAAACTTAAACTTGTATCAAATAAATATTTCATGAATCACCCCCTTCCCTGTCTAAAATAAATATCAGGAACAAATTAAGGATAAGAGTTGGGTTTTAAACTGCACTTTATTTGTGACTGTAACATTCTTTTTTAACTGACCAACTTTAAGCATGCAGAAAGTCCTCTTCCAAGTGGAACTGCTTCCACAGCCCCTTGGACATCAGTAAGTAAATTATAAAGGTCAATTTGTAGTTCTCGCTTCCTTTATAGCACTTCTAAGTAGTGTGACACATACCACAGAGATAGGAAAGACCATCTTTAATAAATTATCTTCTTAATTGTAGAGAATTTCTGAAAATAAAACTGACAAAATGCTAACCCATGCCTTTGATGAGTCCTCAAAGACCAAAGACCCATCTCCTCCTATTTGAAGAATCAGTCCCCGAGTGTCCTCGCCTCTGTAGGCACTTGATAACGCGGTCCACCAGGGCTCTGGGCAAATGCACTAGGAAGCCCTTCCACCGTCTCATTTGCCGATTCTCTGCACCACCCAGTCTTGCTGGCAGAGAGGGCAGCGGTTGTTCTGTTTCACCCACAGGGACATGCAGCAGTTGTGGAAGGAATGATTACATTCTCCCCACACCACTAAATGAAAGAAAAGAAAAAAAATTATTTTACATTATACATTTCAATTTAAATGACTGACTGAGCTCAAATACATGGCTTATTTTATATTATGAATAAATCATGGTTCATTAATCTCAAAGACGGTAAATTGGTCAAAATACTTTTTTCTACCTATGAAAAAATAGAAACTTACATGTGTAAAGTTTGTGCTTAGGGGACTTTCCATCACTGTTCTAGAACCTGTGAATAATGTAGTGGCCCCCAGTTCCTACACAGCTCCATATGCTGTCTTCCTGAAATTCGAAGATGAAAGGACTTGAGTCTTTCTCAGATCCCAGACCTGAGTTCTCAGTCACACCCTGACTTTGGAGACATTTTGGGTTTTACTGAAAAATATCCTCCTGGTTTTTATTTACCAAGATATGAGTTTTAAATGTTTTTAGTTCATAGTTGGCTATTATAAATAGAAGACATGCTTCTAAATATTATCAGCTGTACATCTACTGAGTTGTTACCTAGATGTGGTGATAAACTAAGTTAAGTCATCAACAAGCAGTGCAATTCCTCATGTAACAAACAGAATGAAATTTTCAAGGCTATTTGGAAAGAGAGGTCTCTTTGTAATCAAAGAAAGCTGGCCTATACCTCACAATTCCCAAATTAAAAATTTTTAAACAAACAACTTGAAAGAAAAAATTTAAACTGAGGGAAATAACCCACAATCTGGACTACAATCTCAAATGTGAGCTTCATTTTTCTCTTGCTTGACCAACTGAGCTATATGATAACAGAACAATTAAAGACATTGAAATACAAGAGAAAAAGAAAACAAAAAACTTCTTATGAAATTTGGCTGTAGGGGGTAGAAAGCTAAGGGAAATCATTCTAGTATTTCAGGAGAAAGAAAGAGGATTTGATCAAAATGGCATAAATCATTAATAAGAAGCTGTACGTAGCCCTGGCCGAGTGGCTAGGTGGGAGCGTTGTCCCATGCACTAAAAGGTTGCGGGTTTGATCCTTGGTCAGGGCGTTTACAGGAGCCAACTGATCGATATTTCTCTCTCACATCATATTTCTCTTTCTACCTTCCTCTAAAAAAAAAAAAAAAAAAAAAATCAATGAAATAATATCCTCAGGTGAGGATTGAAAAAAAAAAAAGGCTGTATTAAACTACACCAGGACAAAGTCCAAAGTTAACCTTTCATTCTAGGAAAATATTTAAAGGATTTTATATAACAATCTAGAAGTGATGACTTCAAGAACTAGGACATACACATACATATCTTTGAATTGCTTAAAACATTTAGCCCACAACAACTTGTGTAGCCCCAGACCATAAGAAAAATTTAATAGATTTCTATATACAAACTGTATTCCCCAAAAAGACAATTTTTCTAACTTAGTTGAAAAGTTCAACACTATATGATAAGAGTATTGGAAACTAAAATGCTTTATTAGAATGAAACCCTATCAAAACTGACCTGTAACATACTTAAAATTTAAATGTTTTGGCAAATTCCTTTTTTTTTGTTAATCCTCACCCGAGGACATTTTTCCATATTTTGTTCAGATAGAGTGGGAGGGAGAGAGAAAGAAACATCGACGTGAAAGGGACACATCGAGTGGTTGCCACCCACACGACCCAACAAGGGCCAGGGACAAACTGCAACCGAGGTACGTGCCTTTAGCAGGAACCGAATCTGGGTCTCTCTGGACCGCAGGTTGACACTCTAACCGCCGAGCCAAACCGGCCAGGGCATCAAATTCCTTTTTATATAATTTTCTTAATAGAAGAGAATTATTCATTTTGTAAATTATCAAAATGTTACTGTGCTCATATCTCGAATACTACTTATATAACCAATTATTCTTAATTATAGGCAATAAAAAAACTTGCAGATTAATCACATTAAGACCTTTTGAGAACCAACACATTTTATATTAATAACAGATCACAGCTTTACAGTTTATTTTTGTGTATTGATAAAGTCAATCTTAAATAGCAAATTCAAACATCCCCACTGAGAGAAAACCTTCAGTTGAAAAAGCATGAGAATGAAATTACAACATACCAACACAATCCTCTTGTTTGTTTTCAGCTTGACATCTGAGACAGGCATCTAAAAGTAAACAAACAGCAATTCTCATTCTGATGCTCAGAATGCAATTTTTAAAACCCACACACTTCAAAGTCAAATAAAAGCCCAAAGGGTTGGAGATGGAGATAAAAGACTCATACTATTAATTTCTCATCTGAACTGTTTAAAGATGAATAAAGTATAAGGCACTCTACTAATTTACTTATGACCAGGAGCAATTTTACAAGAGTTACTGACTCTCTATTTTTACAAGCTCTGATGAAAAGATGTCCTGACAGTGGATGCAACCACTAGAGAAAAATATGCCATACTCCATTATATTATAAATTATTATAAGCTCACTAGACATGCTCATATAGCTCAACCTTAGGAGTAGTTTATTTTCGAGACACCTTTTTGTTTATTTATTTTATTTTTATATTTTAATCCTCACCTGAGGACGTTTTTTCGTTTTTTTGTTCAGATAGAGTGGGAGAAAGAGAGAGAAACATCGACATGAAAGGGACACATCGGGTGGCCGCCACTGGCACAACCCAACCAGGGCCGGGGACAAACTGCAACCAAGGTACGTGCCCTCAGCGGGAACCGAACCTGGGTCTCTCTGAACCGCAGGTCGATGCTCTAACCGCTGAGCAAAACTGCCCAGGGCTCAAGGCACCTTTTTAAAATAAGCTATGCACATGGGGTTGTAAGGTGCAGCATATGGAATAGTCAGTATTATAATAACTATGTATGATGCCAAGTGGGTACTGGAAATATTGGGGGAACACTTTGTAAAGTATGTGACTGTCTAATCACTATGCTGCTGTTCACCTGAAACTGATACAAAAAAATAAATACTGAATGTAAACCATTAATTGAATAAATAAAAATTTAAAGATTAAATAAATAAGCCATGCATACATATTGGTATTTGTTTATACATACATAAAGAAACTCTATAAGGATACACAAAAAACTAATAAGAAAGTTTACCTGGGAGAGGACTGAATGGGAAGGAATTTTCATTGTATACTGTCTTAAATTTTTTAATCATGTGACTATATAATCTACATAAAAATTAAATTTAAATTAATTAAAAATACTTTCTAAAAACTAGATTATTTTTTTCTCCTAAGAAAACGCTCCCCTTGCAAAGTAAATCTGAGCTCAAAGCATTTACTCAGCAATGGCAAAGTATTTTAATAAATTACTTGGGAGTAAATACTAGGAATGGGACCCTAGTTAACAAGGTTGTTTGACAAAGGAGGTAATATAGAGTATTTCAGGGACTAATGAAATAGATTCATTCACTAGCTGGAAGAAGAGTCAAAGTTGGGTAAAACAAAGTTCAAACCTACAGAAAAAAAAGTTTTAACATAAACTGGAGAAAAATAATTCTGTAAAAATAGACACACGGTGGAGCTGAAGCCTGCTTCTCTTCTTACACTGGATTATGGGCAGGCACTTGTTTGCTTCTCTCTGCATGTTTTACCCTAGAAAAACACACCACCCTGGCCTCTTCAGTGTGGACTAAAAACAACCACTGCCTCCTAAGATTTTCTTCAATTCCACAGTTACTGAGTATCTACTCTGTGCAAGGAGTTATGCACTGGAGACACCAAAATGACCAAGTCTGAGTCCCTGGTCTCTACAGGAAAGGAGGAGACAGACAAGCAAACAACTAAGTATCATAAGGATCATGATGTAATAGTGAAGATGAGGCTCTGGTTCTGTGCAATCACAGGCAGTTTGTGATCCCAACTGCCTCTTTTACAAATGAGGAAAAGGCGGCCCCAAAAGGTTGTGAAAAACGTCCAAATTAACATATAGCCAAGAAGGGTTACTCTGGCTCTTGACAACTTGCCAGTACAAGAGAAACTACTCCTTTCTTCCTCAGCAGCACTTGCTTCTTTCAGAATGAAGGGAGGAGAGTGGAAACCAAAGAGTGTTAACCACATCAGAATAGGCTGACAGGCAAATCCTGAATCAAGAAGTCATAATAAATCAGTTGTGTATGAGAGGAATTCCAGATATTAAGAAAATAGGATTAAGTAGGACTCTTTTTGTAGAATCTAGATATCTCTGAATTATGCTTATAGTTTTTATTTAGATGATCAAAATTCCCCAAGTTTCCCCAGATAAAAGAAAAGAGATTCTTTTGATGACATTCCTAATATCTGAAACAGCACATTTCTAAGCAGCACAATAACACTAACACCTTTAGAATGATGCTAGGTAAGGACTGGGAAGTCTAAAAACAAACTTCCTCCTGCTGTTACCTGACCACAGAGTGGATTTTTAACACCTCATAAACAAAATACAAAGGTCTAGTCCAGAATATTTACTGAACTCAAAAGTATAGCTGTTATAAATCTGCAACAATAATCCACAGTAGCAGAATACTTGCTATAATTAGAAAGTCACGGTGACACACTTTGACATACTTTCAATATCCTAAGTAAAGTTTATTTGTTGCAAGATTTCAACCATTACTTTAAATTTTACATTTCTACTTCCTAGTTTAATTTTTTTCCTTCGGGCAGAGGAATAAAATTCCTTTTTAGGAACCGTCTTCTTTTTAAAATAAAGGACGTTTAAGTGACAAAATGGTCAGCAAAGCCTGTCTTGCTAAAAAACAAAAAATAAAGTCACCTGTGTAAGTTAAAAATGCCACCCAAGCTGGAAAATATGATTCTAGTTCTTAAGTAAGGGGTGGGTATGTAGTAAGAGGACTGTATTGCAGGCCAAGAAACTAGGTACTTTTAAAACATGATATGCAAAATAAGTGGATCATGTCTGAAATCAAGCTCTTTCAAAAATAAAAAATATCTGAACCCCACTGTTGAAAATCCTCTTTGAAACAAGTCCGTATGAATAGAAGATAAGAGTGTAAACTGATATCTCTCTATTCTGGCAGACTTCAAGTTTCATCTCTCACGAAGGGGCTCTTTCTAAGTTATTTTCTCCAATTCTCTCATTTTTCAGGACAAGACACAAAGTTTAGAAATTACAAAAATCTCAGTTTTCTTCATCTACCCTCAAGAAACAACACGTAAGAAGCTCTCACAGAAGTTTTAAACGCTCTATTAAAAAAATATAACCTGCATTCACACAGCACCTCTTTTTGCAAGGTGGTCTGAGATCTTAAAACAGAAACCATAGAAAACAAAACAGGATGACGTTGTTCTGAAAGGTTTTATTTAGTCCGACATTTTTTGTTCAAAATATCACAGAAAGAAGAAAGACTGGTTTGCGAAAGCGGGTTCTCCGGCCACAAAGGCCTGACTCAGAGCGGCCAGAATCTTGACCAGGAAATGGCATCCGATGACAGGAAGGGGCCAGCAAGATTACGTCTCGTGTTTCTAAGTGCAGGGCTTAACACTACTCAATTCCCACAAAACTTAAATATTCTCGAGCCACCCTGTAGCCCCTTCCGGCCTGGCCAGTGCCGTCTGAGCGGCCTCCAACCCTTCCGTGTAAAAGCTGGCAGCGGGGCGGCAGAGACCCCCCAAAGGCACGGCTGGGCACACGTTTCTTCCCTGCAGCTCCCCAGCACAGACTGAGGGTGTCGTTTTTGTGGGAAACGACCTGAGCATCCCTTGGTGTGTGACCAGAACCAGCGATGTGCTCTGCTGACCCCGGGCCTGCACCGCGACCCCTCTGCCGTCCGCTTTTCGAGATGGGGCTGGCCACACCGACCCAAGTGGTTCCTCCCAACGCGTATCAAATCACACGGTCGTGTATTCCCGCTCACACCCCTCGCTACCGGAATGATCGCAATCCCTCTACTCACTGCCGGTGTGCCTCGCCAGAAGCCGGCCCCAGGCGCTGGGGCCCCACGGCCCGGCGGCCACCGCAGGGCGTGCCCCCGCTCCCCCGCTCCCCCGCAGCAGGGCAGGGCAGGGCAGGGCAGGGCGGCCCGCCCCCAACACTCTGGGCAGGGTCCCTCGGAGCCTTCGCGTCCCCCGGCCCGGAGCCGGCCCTGCGGAGGCCGTAGCGCGGCCCGGGCCTCGCGTGCAGCGCTTACCCATCACTTGGACCCTGCAGATGGCGCACGTATCGCACTCCACGTCCCAGCTCCACATGGCCACCGCGTTCCACTTCTTGAGAGAGAACATTTTGTCGCCTCCCGACTTGGAGCCTGCGCTCCCAGAGTGAGAGGACAGGGCGCAGGGCTCCTCGCCGTCTTCCACGTCGGCCATGGCGGCGGCGCGGAGCCGGCGGCGGAGACGCTGGGTCGGGAAGGCCGGCAGCTATGGCGGCTCGGTGGGGCCGTCCGACAGGCCACAGCGCCGCTCGCAGGCCGCCGGCCACCGCGGTGCCTGCGACAGGGGCCGCCCACGATTGGCTGGCGCCGACCCGTGACGTCACCGCACGCCAGCGCCGTGCCCCGCCCCCTTCACATGCAGGGGCAACCTGGTGGGCTGAGGGCCTAGGGGCGATAACAAGCTGAAGTCAGGCCATCGCCCTGTCACGTGTTACCGTCCTGATTGCTGGCGCACAATCTGTGGGGACCACGTGCCCTGCTTCATGCCTTCGTGAAACTTGTCGCTCCCAGAAGTTACCTTATTACCGTATCCCTTTGTTGTCCCACCCGAATGCAAACTCCTTGAGAGCAGGGACTGTGCCTGTCACCACCTGGTCCTCCTTGAGAGCAGGGACTGTGCCTGTCACCACCTGGTCCTCTGTATCTAAAAAATGCCTGCCCACAGAGGCCCAATTATTTGTTCAGTGAACGAATGACCTTCATGAGCTTGTAGAAATCTGGTTCAGTGGTTCTTAAACATGTTGGTCTCAGGACCCTTTTACACTAAAAAATTATTAGGACCTCAAAGAGCTTTCTTTGGTTTGTGGAGAATATATATGTATTTGTTAAGAAATTAAAACGGAGGAAAAAATTTTGAGTGTATTAATTCATTTATATATACATATTTTTAATTTTTATTGACTTTAGAGAGAGGGAAAAAGAGAGAGAGAGAGAGAGAGAGAGAGAGAGAGAGAGAGAGAAACATTGATATGAGAGAGAAACATCAATCTGTTGCCTCCCACAGGCGCCCCAAACCCAAAACCAGTGTATGTGCCCTGACCAGGAGTTGAACCCACCACCTTTTGGTGTACTGGACAACACTCTAACCAGTTGAGCCACACTGGCCAGGGCAGTGTATTAATTAATTTAAAAATAACACTAATCTGTAACAAAAATAAAGTAATAAAAATAATTTAAAAAAATAACTAATAAACCCATTACAAGTTATCATGAGAGCAGTGACATCACATATATAGCTTCAGGAAAACACTGTACAATACACTCAGAGAGTGAAAAGAGCAAACAGCTTTGAATATTGTTATGCAAATAATTTTGACCTTTAAAAGGAGCCCAGGAACCCTGGGGGCCACTCTTTGAGAACCTCTAATCTAGTTTAACTTCCTCCTTTTATATATAGGAGGAATGGGGTCCAGAGAAGTAATTTAGAGAGCACACTGCTACCATATGATGGTGACAGATTTGAAGCCAGGGTTCTTACATTGCTAGCCCAGGGTCATATAATTATGTTTTCCCAAGCAAAGTAGACAACATCTCCATTTAAAAGATAGGAAAGTTGAGGCACAGAGAGCCTAAGGAGATGCCTGATTCCCACCTTCATTAATGGTGAACATCTGCTGAGTCAGGGTTGGGATTCAGAGCCTCCACCTCTTGTTGGGCTTCCCATCATGCCCTCCTCCCCTGATGCCAGGCCTTGGGACTGGGTGGGGGCTAACCAAGCTCAAGGAGTCTGGCAGAGAAGACAAGGTTGCATAACACATAAAAATATAAATATGGACCCAGGGTCACATTTGACTAGCTGCGAACATGTGCTGTTTGTTGAGTGGCCTGTTAAGTGCTGTAAGGGACAGAAATGTTCCTGAGGACTGTGGTCGGTAAGGGAAAGCCTCAGGGAAGAAGTGAGGCTTGAAAAGGAGGAGGCCCTGGAGGCCAGGAAATGAGTGAAGAAAGCAAACCTCTGAGTTGTTAGCTGGAGCAGAGCAGGAGTAGTTGCTGCAGACATGAGTCTGACCACATTAACTTTATGAGCCAGACAAAAATCCCTACAGACCAACTCAGATGAACCGTACACAGCACATATTCTGTTCATATTAGGTGACCACACATCTGACTAGAGATGGCTATAAATGCTAGATAGCTAGTAAAAAAAAACAAACAAAAACAAAAACACGGCTGGAACCAGATGAGGATAGAATGAATCCAGCTGGTAGGAGCTGAGCAGTTTGAAAGAGAAAAGGAACGAAACTCAGATGAAAGAATGAAGGATGAGAGGATGGTTAAGAATAAGAAATGGTGCATGCCGATGCTGAGTCTGAAACTCATCTCCCTGTCCCTGGGTTATTGTGTCCTGACTTCCTTCCTGTCTCTCCTCCTCAGTTCAACTGGCATTCAATCTAATGTGCTATTTAATTTTCCTATATCCCTCTTTCCACCTGGCACTCTCCAGCTCAAAAATGTTCCACAGCTTTGAATTATTATTAGAACAAAATCTAAAAGTCCCAGTTGGTCATTTAAATCTTGCCCCGATATACTTTTTTAGTGTCATCTCCAAGAGACCCTTGTCGGATTGGTTTGCTCAGTCATCTAAACACAACCTAGACTTTTTTTCCCTTCACATTTTAACAGCTGTAAAATTGGACAGAACTTCTCCTACCTGCTCCAGCTGGATTGCCCTTTCCACTTGAAAACAACTTACTTATCTTTGTGTCCTCACTGACCACTCTGCCATCATTTATTTATGTCCCTCCAGGAAATCATAAGAAAATTGTTTTTTCCATTCTTTTGGCACCAGGTCACATAGCAACCAAAAAGTGCTGTTACTGATGTTTATCAAACAATTTTACGTTTTTAAAAAAAGTAACAGCTCGCCTGGCCGGTGTGGCTCAGTGGTTGAGCATTGACCCATGCACCAAGAGGTCGCCTGTTTGATTCCCACTCAGAGCACATGCCAGGCTGGGGGCCCGATCCCCAGTGGGGGGCATGCAGGAGGAGGCCGATCGATGTTCTCTCTCATCAATGTTTCTGCCTATCTCTCCCCCTCCCTTCCTCTCTCTCTAAAATCAATAAAGAAAAAAAAAAGTGACAGCTCAAAAATGGTAAAACCAATAAAATGAGCATGTAATGAAAAAAAGCAAGTACTATTAATAGACTATCTAGAAATTCCTATATATGTACAAGCAGACACATAATACATCAAGTTATTTTAAACTTTTTAAATTGTGGTAAAATATACATAACATAAAGTTGACTGTCCTAATCATTTTTTTTTTCTTTATTGATTTTAGAGAGAGAGGAAGGAAGAGGGAGAGAGAGATAGAAAAATCCATGAGAGAGAACAATGATTGGTTGCCTCCTGCATGCCCCCCACTGGGGATTTGGCCCACGACCTGGACATGTGTCCTGACTGGAAATCAAACTGGCAACCTCTTGGTGCATGGGTCGATGCTCAACCACTGAGCCACACTGGCTGGGCGATCCTAACAATTTTTAAGTATACAGTTCAGTAGTGTTAAGTACATTCACATTATGATGCAAGCAATCTCCAGAACTTTTTCATCTTCTAAAACTGAAACTCTGTACCAATTAAACAACTCTCCATTTCCCCCCTCCTCCCCTTGACAACTACCATTCTACATCCTGTTTCCGACTTTAACTACTCTAGTTACCTCATGTAAGTGGAATCATACAGTATTTGTTTTTTTGTGACTGGCTTATTTCACTTAACATAATATTCTCAAGGTTATCCATGTTGTAGCATGAGTCAATTTCCTTCTTTTTAAGGCTGATTACTATTCTATTGTATGAATATTCGACAGTTTGCTTATCCATTTGTCTGTTGATGGACATTTCAGTTGTTTCTACCATTTGCTTATTGAAAATAATGCTGTTATGAACTTGAGTGTACAAATATCTCTTCGTGATCCTGCCTTAAATACTTTTGGATATATACCCAGAATTCGAATTGCTGGTTCATATCACATCTATTAGTTTTTTTTGTTTGTTTGTTTTTTATCCTCACCCGAGGACATTTTTCCATTTTTTGTTCAGATAGAGTGGGAGGGGAGAGAGGGAGAGGGAGAGGGAGAGAGAGAAAGAGAGAGAGAAACATCCACTCGAAAGGGACACATGGAGTGGCTGCCACCCACACGACCGACCAGGACTGGCGACAAACTGTAACCTAGGTACGCGCCCTTAGTGGGAACCGAACCCGGGTCTCTCTGGACCGCAGGCTGACGCTCTAACTGCTGAGCCAAACCGGCCAGGGCACATCTATTAGTTTTAAATATGAATTTTTCACATATACTATTCTCTAGCCTGTTTTTTGTTTCATAGTACTACTATGACATCTTTCCACATAAACACATTATTCATTTTAATGGCTATGTAGTATTCCACCACATATATTTCCTCTGATTTATTGTCCTGAGAACCCTTTGAGACACCTTTGTTTCTAATGAATAATAAACAGTGCTGCAGTGAACATCTCTATACATATTTCCTTGCACATGTGTAAGAGTATATCTGTAAAATAAATTTCTAGAAGTAGAATGCTTGGGTCTAAAGGTGTATATTTTTCATTTTGATAGACATTGCCAAAAGACCTTTGAAGAGGAACACAGACTTTACACTCCCAACCATGGATGTTAGTGGCAAATTTCAAAAAAGTTTTTATTTGTTTATTTTTGAAGCAGAAACAATTTCTTAGAAGGCCTCACACACTGGATATATAAGTGTGAAAGATTTGTTATATTATTTCAGCTCTGATGCTCTATCGTTGTTTGTTTATTTATTTATTTACTTATTTATTTATTTTCCTTTATTGATTTTAGAGAGAAAGAAAGAAAGAGGAAGAGAGACATAGAAACATTGATGAGAGAGAACATCGATTGGCCGCCTCCTGCATGCCCCCCACTGGGGATTGGGCCCACAACCTGGGCATGTGCCCTGACGGGGAATTGAACTGGTGACCTCTTGGTGCATGGGTTGATGTTCAACCACTGAGCCACACCGACCCGGCTATTGTTGTTTATTTTTAATGTATGAGGTTCTTGCCTTCCTAGCTAGATGCTAAGATCCTCAAGAGTGGACCTAAATTATTATACCCAAACCCACATCCACAGTTAGTTTGGTTCTATGAACTTGCCAGTACAGGCTACATTTGTACATAGAAAAATGACATTTTTAAAATTTAAAAATAAAAAGGTCATAAGTCTTT